TGTCTCACCTGGGTGGGATATAGTCAAGGAGGGACAACAGATGGGTCTAAGCCAGAAAGTGCCCTGAAGCTGTGAGATGTGGAGGAAAGTAATTGAAGCCTGACAAAAACAGTATCATTTTCACTTCGGCAATCTACAGTTTTAGGTCTGTTAGTTGAAAAAAAAAATGTGCCTTTGGTTATTATCAACCCAGTCTCACCCAGGTTCCTTCTGGATAACTGTTCAGTACTACTACCAAGGTGCATGGGGCAAATACGGTTTTGCAGCTCACCATTAGCAAACGCAACCTCAAGACACCTGAGAGAAAATGAATTAACATGGCTTTTGTGGAATCCATGGGTTTGTGGTAATTACAGCAGCACATTTAACTGATTCCTCTGAAAAGAGTTAGGAACCTTTAATTCTGTAGAAAACAACAATCTTGTTCTATTATTGTTTTCAGTAAAATTAGAGGTTTGGGGCTTTTAATAGATGACTAAATTAGACCTTATCAAAATCCTTTAAAAGAAACCCTGATCCTTAGACTGCAATTACTCTGGGGAATGCAGGCAAAAATTGGCATTTGTTTAGAAACATCAGAAGTCAGTGCTGGCTGGCATTTTGTTACTGGGTGATGCAAATGTTGAGAGTAAACCAGCTTAAGTTGCTTGTCTGTTTTCATGTACATCTTCCTGCTTTGTCACACAACCAGGGCTCTTGAAAACACCCAGCTGGAAGATACCAAATGACACCAATGGGGGTCGCCTGTCCCTTTGTTGTTGTTGTTCTTTTTAAATAGATTATTTTGGGGGGTACAAAAACAAGGGGTTTCCACGGTTCCACAGGTGTAGCCACTTCCTTAAGGATAAGTACAGACAGTCAAAAAGCCCAAGGCTGAATCGATTTCAGTCTTCACAGGTTAGTCTAAGCTGAGAAGATTGAACTGATAAGCAAGTGAGCAGACATTCACTTTTGATTCAGGCAATGCAGTCACGTGCCTTCAGTAGCCTCGGCAAGAAATGGCAGGTGCTAGAGCATGCCTCCCTGCCCGGCTGGAGCAGACAGCTTGGGCTAAAGCTAGCCTGCCCATCCTGTGAGAGGGGTTTGTGGGTGGAAGTGCAAAGCATCCTGGGATGTTGGGGGAGACTGAGTTAACTTGAATCTGAAGCGGATCTGGGACAGAAGTTCAGTAAACCAATTTAACCTAAATCAGTTCAGTCTGATACTACATCCATCCGGGTTCATCTTACACCAGTTTCAGCCATTTTGAAAGGGGTTTATGTGTACTGAACTCAGCTGTGTTACAGATTTGAACCAATTTCCTATCATTTATACTGGTTTATGTGTAACTTCTGTCCCTAGCCTAACAGAACTGAGCTGGGGGGCTTTATTCTCATTTACAGTAAGTCCTTCATAAATCAGAGGAAAATGACTACATGTATATGTCTACACCTGCATCCACTTGCACATAATATTGGTCTCTATATATGGTGGGCCTTATTTTCTACTGGTATGCATGCAGAGTATGCATTTAAACCAAGCAATGCCGGATGTAAAATGCTGCCTGTCTAAGGAAGGATGATCCATTGGTGAAGACGTTAGTGTAGAAGACATAGATTCGAAACCCAGCTCTACCCCGGGGTTTTTCTGTGACCTTGGGCAAGTTACTCAGGCTCACCCTCCACAACAGGACTCAGGTAGAATTTAGTCTCTTAAATCCTAGAATGTGAGCTTCAAAGTCTAAAGGCATCAACATGTTTGCTTAGAAAAAAGTGCCCTTTAACTAAAAGTTTTGCTTCTAGGCATACCAAGAAATCTGTGCTGTCTAGTCTGTGCTAAAAAGTTTGGTGCTTATTTCATACTGAAGTCCCTTAGGATTCCCTAACTAGGTGTTCTTCTACCTATGGTCTCTGTGAGACCCAACTGTTTAGAGATTTAACAATTCATGGGACCAGAAAGAGGGAGCAAGAGGGAGCTGAGGCCCTCATCTGGGCAGGGAAACAGCTCAATGCTGGTGTTTCTCTGAAGGATGTTAAATGCATTTTTTTCTGTGACCATGTAATGTTAGATAAATGTAAAGTTCTTGGAACAGGGACCAGACTCTGGTCTCCCCCTGCCCGTGAAACTGTGCTAACCACCAGAATAGAAAGGTGTCCCTTGTACTAGGGCACATGACTGTTAGACATGGGGCCACAAGACAATGGGCCAGGAGACGCAGCTCAGTTTTCAAACGTAGGGTCTTAATTGGGTTTCTAAACCCCATATTGGGATGTTGTGATCGGTATTAATGCTTGTTCTTTTGGATGAGCTAGTTAGGTGACCAGGTTAAAAACCTGGCCCAGTAGTATGGGTGGGATATAGTGTGCGCCAGTTCATAACGGTTACGTGATCTTGAGAGGTCCTAAGCACTGAAATGCAATGAAAGTAATTTGAAATAGTACTGTCTGGATCTATCCCAAATGTTCCCATTCAGTTGTCCTTCATCCAGCAGTACAGAAACCAGGCAGCAGATACCTAAATGTCATTCCCCCAAGTTAGCTGGAGATGCACACTGGATTAACTGGAATCTGTTTCCATCCACCTGCTCCTGTCTCTTTTTCTGACTCCCTCACTTTTTCTTTAGTGAGACTGCAAAGAGTACAGTTTTGTTCCTCAAACTATGATCTGGCCACTGGTGACTCTTCCTGAGGTTTGTAGCTGGAATCAAGTTTAAGAGTAAATAATGCATCATACTATGGTAATGTTAGAGTGATATGTAGTCATGATGGTCCAGGAATGATCCGAGAGGCAAAGATTTCTTCGGGTGGTATCTTTTATTGAACCAACTGCCTAATTGGGATAGAGTTAGACAAGCTTTCAAATGCTAGACATTTGAAAGCTTGCTTATCTGTGTCCTGGCTATACAGCTGGACCAATAAAAGATAGCACCTGAAGAAATCCTTGCTTCTTGCTTATTGTATCACGCTAAAGATGCCCCATATTGTCAAATTAGCATAGAAGAATGTGCGCCTAAATTATCCAGTGTCCGTTCTTTTACAGTGCTAAAGCTAGTATTCAATTATAGTAGCTGTCATTGATCTAGTGAAAGAACAAAATAGATAGCATCCATATTGTCCAAGTTTATTGAAAGAGTCTCATGCCGTCTTATTTTGTCAAGATGCTGTTCTCAAAGGATTTCATAGAAAATCTTCTAGGGCGGCAGAGCCAATAAAGTTTTCTACTGATACTGATATCTCTGCGTGGTCAGAGCTGTTTACAGAAAGCCTTGCACACTTTCTTTTTGTTTTCATAATTGAAAACTTGCCAGAATGCTGAATGGATTTTGTATATGAGATATTTAGCAAATATAATTAAACTGTCACCTTGTGACAGCTCATGTGTTGGGATATTTGACCACACTGGAGTTTTTTTCCTTTTTTTAACATCTTTGCAAGCCAGCATCACAAGAAACTCTCAATTCAGCAGATTTGGCCAACATTAAAGAAAACTAGAGTAAAAAGAGACACTTCCACTATTATAAAGTAATATATTTAGATATTTTTATTTAAAAAAAAAAAAAAGAGAGAGATCCAGTGAAACTAAAAGCGGCTTAATGAAATTAAAAAGAGAAACAACATTCTTTCTTATTTAAACATCTCCCCTTGCAGCAGTAGTAACCCCAAACAAAAGCTGCTCTGCAAATGCATGAATACAAAACCCCTTTCCTTGGGCTTTTAAACTAGCCCTGTCACTGTGCGGTCTGAAATGTCAACCCGTTAATTTTGCACATGAATTTTCAAATGCAAAGCAATTACACGTGCATGAAGTTGAGTGTTGGCATACATGTCTAACTGGGACTCAAAAACTTGTTTGAGCCCAAGGTGGAACTGAGGACACTGGGCTTTTGGTTGTAGCTGTGTTGGTCTAAGGACATAGGCAGGCAAGGTTTTTTGAGTAGAGGGGATATCCTTTAATAGACCAACTGAGTAGTTGGAAAAAAGTTCTTAGCAAACTTCCAAGTGCAACCGCCCTTCATCAGGCATAAGAAGTCTCTACGCTCTCATTGACATCCTGGCACATTTTTAGCTTCTCTCATTCCTTGGAGTCTCAGAAGCAAATCAGTAGAAATTTAGAAAGACAAAAGGTAAAGCAGGAAAGGGAGGAGGTAACAAAAAACAGGGGTGGGGGAGGCCAAAGGGAGACACTCCATTGGTAGTAATCCAAGGTAAGCAAGAGGCTGGCTGTGAAAAAGGAAATAACTGAAAATTAGGATGATAAAGGGCAGAAAAAGAGGGGAGGGGAGAAAAGTGGGGGCAAAGAAGAATTTAAGAGGTCAGGTCTGGCAGGTACCTGGTGAATCGGATTCACTTTTAGCTTCTCTCATTCCTTGGGGTCTCAGACCAGCAGAGACACCCCATGCCTGAAGAAGGGCGATTGCACCCGAAAGCTTGCTAAGAACTTTTTTCCAACTGCTTAGCAGGTCTAATAAAAGATATCACATCTATTAAAAAAACCTTGCCTAACTGAGGAGGCTACTTTTACTGTCAATATGAAATGGAGAAACTTAAAGAAAAAAAATCCCCCAAAACCCAGTCGTATAAATGGCAAAAAATTGTAGCTTCACTTTGAACTTAAATTTAGCAATCTAGTGTGTTGTGGAAAGGAAATGTAAATGTAGTTCTAATTATCTGTACATTGATAACGTTTTTATCCTGAGTTTTTGTGTCATTTTTATCTTGACTTGATAACATGTTTATCTTCAGTCTGCCTTTTTAATCTGTAGGCAGAAGGCAAGGGAGGGCGGCACCTTCTAGACTAACTCGTTCAGAGAGACGTGAGCTTTCTCAGGCTATAGTCTCCTTCTTCAGATGCTACAGGGAGACTTAATTCTATTGTATCCTTTCCTCCTGCCAATGTTGGCCGTCTATAATGAGCGATGGCATCTTTAGAGGGCCAATAATGAGAAAACAATGAAGATCCATGTAACAGCTGGAAATGACATTCTGTATCTAATTGTTGACATGCACTCTTGTTCCTCCTAGGGCAAAGGTGAAGAAAGGTGTGAATATTTTCAGTGTCAGAGCCAGCAGCCCATACTTATGGGACATTAGAGAGAGCATGGATTATTCTGGGAAATATGCACCAGCTGTTATTGTTTGCCAGAGGAAATCTGCTACCTCCAAAAATAGGTAGGTCATTGCCAGTATTTTTAATGACTGACAAGCAGGGGTGGCGGTTTGGTTTTATTCTTAAAGGCGATGTATCTTCTTTGCTGTGGTTTTGAATAACTTTCATTATTGTTTCCCAATATACACCGTAAACGCGTCGATTAAAAAAAGCTGGTGCTAGCTCTAGTTCATCATTCTGTACTTACTGTGTGCGTTTTAAGCCAAAGAGTACTTAAAGAAAATGAAAACTAACAGGAAATATTCATTTCACAGGAATATTTCAAAGGCCTTGTCTGATCGCTTTGAATTTAATTTAGCCTTATTGTTCAGCCTTTTCTAATTATTTGCTGCCAGCTGGTCAGCGATTATATTGGTGGCCTGTTAATTACAGTCCTTTTTGTGTCCTGGACTTTCCAGAGGGAGCTAAAACATAGTCCCAGCATGTTTTTTAAGTGATTTTTTTTTTCTGTGAATTGTTAATCTACAGTAGGAGACTTGATCTTCAGTCATTAAATTCCCACTGTGTAATCATTGATGTACTACTACATTGACCCCTAAAACAGTCTTTGTTTGGCAGTTGGTTGTTTCAGTTTCTTAGTATGGGTGCATGTTTTGAAGAGTAAATGTTTGTTACCTCTAGTTTTCACTTCATTCATTATTCTTGGAAAAGCACGGGGGCAAATGGTAATGAGCTGGTTTTGTTGTATTTTTAGGTATTGTTGCTAAACTCACGTTATAAAGAGGGAAGCCAAATTCTGGAATGATTTATCTGCTGTGAAATTCCATTGATTTATCCCGGGTTTGCAGTGAATGCAGGATTTGGAGATTTTTTATTAAAAAGAAAAAAAAAAACCCCTCTTATTATTAAATGCAGCGAGCTCAGCGGGTGAGAATGTGAAAAGAAGCGGGGACCTCCGTTGCATTTTCCGATGAAAGTTTGTCCTTCCTTAAAAGAATTCGGGTTCAGATCCCTCTTGCACTATATCCTGATTTTTTTTTTCTCCCCTCAACTGTATACAGTATTATAGCTGGCTGAACTTTATTGGTCAGAGAAGTGATGTCTGTATGCCCAAGGTCACAGCTTTCTCCTCAATAAAAGAATCTGTCAGTCAGCTTCTTAAAGGGCCTGATAATGCTCATCAAAATCAGTGAGATCTTTCCACTAAATTCATTTGGGTTTGGATCAGGCCCAGAGTGATTATTATGACAGTAAATTATCTACCACCATCTGCCCTTTTATTTTGTGCCTGGGCAGTGTGGAGGAGCATTTCCCCAATTCCTCTTCAATAATGTAAAAATGTAGTGTGCTGTCAAGGATGAATCAAGTTTGGCAAATTTTTCCATTTTTCCATATTTTCTTAGAATTGAGCACTGGGCAACTGCCTTTTAAACGTGACTTTTTCATTATCCTACTTCAGTTTGAACTCGGTGTTGCACTGGTCCCTCTTCTTTCATATGCCATCTATGAGGAGTGTCTTAGTAGTATTGCATACATGATAGTGCTGCTCTCTAGACTCTGGTCCTGCAGTGAGTTTGCTTCAGGATTGGGGCCTTGGCTACTTAACATAAAGATTAATTAAGGGGAGCTTGTCAGGCTTTTAGGCTGACTGGTACCCAGCCCAGATTCCCCAAAGTTTTGGGCGATTGTTCCCAAATGAAATAATTAAGACTTCATTTTTACTTCACATTTTACTGACATGCTTAAAAATAAAGTCAAGGAAACATATCGCAATGCTAAGCTGCTATTAATAACATCAGATAAAAATGAAGCATGACAGCAAGCCAATCAATGTCAAACCCAGAACATCAGACCCAGTATTGGACTGGAAATTAAATCATCAAATTAAGTAATCCAATTAATATTAAAAATAAGCAATCCAATATATTCTGAAGAGGATTAAAAAAAGGTGGCTGTCTGTTTGTGCATAAACCCCAAGTGGAGAATTTTACCAAGTCAATCAAATGCATGATATGAATGGTTAGTCATCATAACACTCTAACCAAACTATTATCGTTGCAGCAGTTGGGCTGCAATCTCAGAGGCAATTAATTCTTCCTTGTGAGACAGTAGTTCTTACGTACCGTCTACTCCTTTCCTCCTCCCCTAACATAAATGTTACAACAGGCTTCAACAGCAGCGTTCCAGGAGTTTGACAGCCCTTATTTATCAGAATTTACATATGATGATCTCAAAGCTCTTGGGAACTTTCAATGAAGAACATGTCGTAATTAATATTGTTGTGAGACAACATTTAGGGCTATTATGCATGGGAAATGTTTCTGTAAGGAGTGTTTCCTGAGTGAATTGTATAGATGTATGTCTTCGCACACGCGCGTGCACACACAAGATCCGAGCTACAATCATGCAGCTTAAAGTAAGTTGCACGATCGCAGACCAGGCCCCACATGTGCAGACCAGATTTGCCAGTGCCAGAAGCCGTACCAGGAACACAGTGCAAGTCCAGGAAGGAGAAAGGGAAGTTAGCAGCTGTGGGGCGGGATGACTGGACTGTGGGGGCTGGTGGGCTGTGGTGGGGGTTGTCCAGCTGAGGGTAGGGGTGTTGGGGGTGCTAAAAATAACTCGATCAGGGTACGGGATTAGGAAAAATTCAGCCCCAAGGCTGGGGCAAATGGCTGGGCTCTCCTAGCCCTAGTTCCAAACTTGTGCAGATGTTCAGTAAATTGGGTGAACCGGTTCCACATCTAACTTAGTTCACCTCCTCAGGTGAACTAAGTTATATCTGGCCAGTCATTTTTTCCCTGCTATAACTTCTCCAAACGTATGTACAGCTTGGCATTTAGATTGCCTTAACCCTAGTTAGGTCAATCTAAGTATAATGTCTGCATTAGGGGTGTGTGAAATGAGTCCTATTCATTTCAGATTCGGCCCGAATCAGGGACAGTGATTTCATTCGTTGATTCAGATCACTGTCCCCGATTTGATTCGGCCGAATCCAAATCTGAAGAGTCAATGCTGATTTGGAGAATCAGCGATTCGGACAGAGATACAGCTTGAAATGTCTTTTCTACATACCTTGAGGTACCAGCATGACTCGTGATCACTGCCATGCTGGGGTGGATGGAGCATCCCACAGGAGTGCGGGGGTGGGGGGCTCACGTGCTTGGCAGCGAACCCAGAAGTGGACTGAAAGTACTTCCGGTCCCCTTCCGAATCTGCCAGGGAGCACCGCACCTCTGTGACTCAGCGATCAGCTGCGGGGGGGGGGGGGGCCCAGGTGCCCCCCCCATACCCAGGAGGCACCAGTCGCTGAGCTGGGGGGTATGGGCAGCCCCCCAGTGTGCTCCCCAGTGGACCCAGAAGTTTGCCAGAAGTGCTTCTGGTCCACTTTTGGTCTGCTGCCAAGTGCACTGGGGACCAGCCCCCCCGCGCTCCTGTGGGACGCCCCATGCACCCCAGCATTGCAGTGTTCACAAGCCATGTCTGGTACCTTGAGGTATGTAGAAGAAACAGTTAAAGTTGTGTCTATGTCTGAATTGTTGAATCTCTTCAAATCATCTGTCTGAATCAATTCGGAGGGTTCCAATTCGATTCGGAGAGATTAAAGGGTCCTCTGATTTGATTCAGATTCAGAGATTCAGCCACCGAATTGAGCCGAATCTCCTCCAAATCGGCTTCGCGCAGCTCTAGTCTGCATGTACCCACACGCATACACAAGCAACACAGCCATGCTTTCTCATGGTTTGATGTATAACTTCTTTTGCCCAGGTGATCAGTTTTTAAGACTTCAGAAAAGCAGACTTTCCTCTAAAACATGGCTCAGTAACCTACAGTTCATGGGCCAGAGCCAGTCCATAAAGACTGGATCCTGCCTACAAAGCCTATGAGGCAGTTGGAGATTCATGGGGAGGACCCCTTCCCCTCATTAGCCTCATGCTTCCCCTTCACACAGACCCTCCACTGAAGACACTGCTGAGGTGGGGGGAGGTATCTGCATAGTCAGCAGCCAAGAGGTTAACACACACCCCATACTGCAACCACTGCCTTTTCACCATTTAATTTACCATTGCTGATTGCTGCTGGCAATGGCATTTGGTGGCACATGGAGACTGGAGCGAGCTGTCGCTAGCTTTGGAACTTTTCTAACTCCGCTTTAAAGCCTCTCTCTCAAAAGTCTTCAGACTAACCTAGTCCCACAAAGTTTGAATGAGGCCATCGTCAATGAGCCACAGTTTCTAAAAGTCCTACTTCATTCAGCAATTAAAAAAAAGGCATTTGGAGCATTGCATACCTGTAAGTCTGGAACACCCTTCTATGACCCCCCCACCCTCAAAAGTAAAAAAAAAAAAATCTGGATACACAATGGAGGAAGATGATGATGCGGGCTTATCTGAATAAAAGGTCTTAAACTATAATTATGGCACCAGTTTACAGAAGTTTTAATATAAAAATCTTACAAACATAGATGACTAGATAAAAAGAGCGCTCAACAGAATCAGTCACTCAGCATTAGGATGTCTGCAAAATTTAAAATTAGTTCAAACTTGTGATCACCTCCTCATCCCTAATGTCTCTTTTCTGTCTTTTCTGTTGCTGTCCTAGAATGAGGTTGTATGTCAAAGAGTTTATTTTTTGTAATCTTATTTCCATAAAGAAAAGTTTATCAGGCTGAAATCGTCTTGAACCTTAACATTTACATTTTTATATAAGGTCTAAATTCCTATATACATTATGTTTAAATATTTTCTATGCACACGTGTGTGTATGTGTGTATATATCTATATCTATCTATCTAAAGATACCCATGTGTGTGTATGTATGCATATGTTTGGGCAATATATACACACTAATGCCAAAATCTCCAAATAAGGCAAACAATATGTTAATAACCAGGGGATGCTATTTACACTATCATTAGCAGACAGCAAACTTTTCCTTACCCTGATCTAGACAAGAGAATATAAATTCAATTAGGCAATTTCCTACCCCAATATCCTCCAGCTGTGGGCCATGCATCCTCTAAATATGTTCCATGGTACTGAGTTGTATTTTAGTTTTTCTCCATCTCACTTTCCATAGGCAAGACTGACATTTGCTTAACTTTTGAAAACTTTTTGTCCAGACACCAGTTAATATATAAATAAAATTTAAAATATTAGGAATGCGTTAATGTACAGGAGGGATCGTGTAGAGAAAAGGGGCGGGGGGTAGTTCTCTATGTTAAGGAAAACTACACATCCCTGCAAGCCAATATTGGCGACCAGGGTGGACGGCTGGAGACCCTCTGGGTTAAAATCTGTGGGGAACACGGCACAGGGGACACAATGGTGGGAGTCTATTACAGACCTCCCACTCAAAGTCCTTAGCTTGACCAGAAG